GAAATATATATTTTTTTCTACCTTCAAGGGTAATTATTTTAATTTTAGTGTCTTTTAACACAAAGCATGGTCAAATATAAAACAGAAAATACTATAAATATACTTGTTTCTAGGCTAGGTAACGGTTGCACCGACCAGTGTAATAACAGAATTTTTTGTCCTTATTTCTTAATTTGGGGTTGTTATTGTCCAACCATCAGCCAATGTTGGAATGGAACAACATGCATCAGAAGAAATACTACTACTTCATAGATAAATAAGTACTTTTAAGTACTATAAATATAGATTCTCAGTGTCATCATAATCATAAAAAAATACATAGTCATACTACCTAAAGAATTTGTTTATTTCCCTGCAATACAAAGAGTCTTGATTTTTTAAAGAAATATTTAGCTATTTGGCAAAAAAAAGTGAGTTTGTTTATTTATTTTTATCACGTATATACAGGGTGGTTTTAATAAGTAATGTCAGGCAAATATGTTGCAAAATGTCTCTAAAAAACTTCGAAAGAAAATCTTTGTATAAACATATAACATATGTTCTAAATTGCCCTGTTTTAGAAATACAGAGGAAAATATTGTAAAGCAAAAAAATAGTATATTTGTAATACTAAATGTATATAATATATATATATATATAATGTAAATGTGTATAAAGTAGAGAACATTATAAAAATATTTCTTACCAGGGAAGGTAACAAATATACTGGGCACTAAATTGCTAAAATTTGATGTGTACTAAAATTCACGTGAAATTATAGAATTTAACTACTAATATTTTCGAAATTCTAGTTTTACATTTATAAAAAATATTAAAATAACAATTTTGATTTTTTTACAAACCTTTATGAGTTTGTCCGAAAAGGAATACAGTCATAAAACCTGTGTTCTGTTGTGTATTTTCATGGAGTGGAGAAATAAAAGCTGATGTACCAGTAATAGCTGCAGTTATAGAACTACTTCTACCAGTTTGATGATCTAAAAACAAAAATAAATTTATAGTTTTTGGGAAATAAGCTTTTCACAAAGGATCATTCAATTTTTTATAAATGAATCTCAACACAAACTAAATTAGAGGTTAGACTATGGTTTTCTGTGATCTCAAGCAATATTTGGCAGATAATTTAATTAAATATATTAAATAAATACTGAGTACCTACTGTAATAAGTGTGTGTACCTACTAGAAATAGTAACAAAATCAAAGTTAAAAATGTCTTACATAATAGTTTTGAATTTTTTACTTATTACAAAATAAAGGAGACATTTACAAAAAGAATTTGCTGAATATTGAATATTAAATTTACCAAGAATTTACCAGATAAGTACATAACGATAATTATTTTATTTAAAGGATAAAACTATGGTTTAAACCACCCTGGGGGGTATATGCAGTTATTTTTTTTTTAAGTAAATCAATAAAATATTCATTTATATCAGTTAATATTTAACACATTCATTACAAAATTTTTATTTTTTGTTAATTAAAAATATAGGTATTGGAGTATACACATAACACCATATTTTTATTTAAAATGCATTTCAGCATTGTGAATTTGATAAAAATTATCAGTTTTAAATATTTTCCTTAATTATTTCCAATTAACTCTATTTTAATTCCTAACGCTGTAATTTAAATAAAAAACCTACAACTAATTTGTAACCATCACAGTCAAGTGAAACATAAAAAAACTTTGCCGAAATATGTATACTATTAGGGGAATTTTTTACATTTTGCAGAGTATCTTGATTATCCTATTTATTGGTGATATTCAGGGTAAGATATATTATGTCTACTTTTTGTATAAACTTTTAGAAAAAATAGAAAACACGTTACACATATTATTGTACAAAAATAAAAATTTCAACTCCAAACTTAACCTGTATACTAAGCAACATTTTTATATATTTTTCTGGTTTATTTACTAATGCAAACTAATAAGTTTTTTGAGTTCCTGGGATTTTTAACAAGAAAAAAAGTTTCTGGGAAACTAAAACAACACACAACATTTAAAAGGAACAAAAAATATGGTTAGAGCCTGTATAATTGGTGATGGGACAAAGTCAGATTATTTCCTTTACACCCTGTATCTTTTGACCATTAGGGGACGCTACGCGTTGTAAAAAAAATTCAGAGTACATGTGCAACGGTATAGAGTTTCAATGTCCTGACACCAAACCTGAAAATCAAGAAGTGTGTAAATGTTTCTGCAATGGAGGCTATTGGAGAGATGGCAATGGCAACTGCGTGAAAGAATGTCCATGTCCACCGGGAAAAGTATGGAGGTAAATATACAGGATACTAAAAAATGCGAGCAATTTTTTTTTGATGACCAAAATCGCAAGAATCTGTATTTTTTTCTATATGCTTTATTCAACAAACCACAATAAAAAACCACACATTTAGAATTATTAAGGAAACAAATTAGAATAACAAATTATATAAATACTATATTTCACCATACTTTGACTATACTTTGTGAGACAAGGTATAAAATGATTTTATTTATTTTTAGGGAAAGTAATCATTGCGTGGATCAATGCAAAGTCCAAAATTGTCCAAAATACATAACTTGGGGTTGTTTTTGCCCCATAGGTCTGTGCTGGAATGGAACAGCATGCATCCCAAGAAATACTACCACTTAAACATTCAGTACTCTCAAGAGTACTCCTATTTTATTCATACTTTTATATGTACTATACAGTTCATTTTAATGTTATTTATCTTTCTATAAAAAAAAACTTAACAGCTTATTGGCAGTGTCCATTTTGATTAAGTCAAAATTATGTCATCTGAACTAAATTGTTGCTTCTTTCTAGGCCTACACTGACGTTGTTTTTAATCTATAATATAGTGTAGATAGAGTGGAAAATAAAAATCGGCTTTAGAGTTGGCTTGGAAATGAAGATCGCTGTTATATGTAAAACTAGCGTGTACCCGCGACTTCGTTCGCGTCGAATTAATCATTTGTAATGGTGATGATAAAGCAAAGCAAGAATTTCCATTAACATACAAACTGGATAAAATTTTCTCACATTTATGTCAGCATGAGAAAAAAACAATATGGCGATATTATTATATAACTTCGTAATATTTGAGGGGTAGTTTCATCTCGTTGGAATTTGACTTTCGAAAAATCCGTTTGCCAAAAATAAGCTTTCTACGTCAAGCAGTTTAAGCAGAATCGTGGTTAATCAATTACCTTTTAATTAACTTTTAGGAACACCCTGTATGATTTTTTAAAAAAATTCAAAATATCTAAAAAAACAAAATAAATTATACGTGTCCATGTGGTTTCCCGAAAGACTAACCGTTTTTTAAATAACAAATATTGTAATATTTGAGGGGCGTTTTCACACTCTTAGAATTTGAGATTCGAGAAACCCCTCCTTATCGAACCTCTATACCCCACAGTCAATCCGTTTACCAAAAATCAGCTTTAAACGTCAAGCAGTTTAAGCAGAATCGTGATTACTCAGTGGTCATATTTTATGAAACACTCTGTATATATTTTTAAAAAATCTTAAAATATGTAAAACAACAAAATAAAATATACATGTTTAAGAGTTTTTCCGAAAAACTCGCCGGTTTTTAAATAAAAAAATATTCTAATGATCTAATTTTGAGTGGTGGTTTCACCCCCTTAGAATTCGAGTTTCAAAAAGTCCCTTCTTATCGAACCTCTACACCCTAAAGTCAATCCGTTTTCCAAAAATCAGTTTTTACGTCAAGCGCTTTAAGTAGGATCGTGATTAATCAATGACCAGATTTTTCGAAACACCCTGTATACATTTTTAAAAAAGCGTTTTTTTCGGAAACTTGACCGTTTTTTTAATAAAAAATATTGTAATATTTCAGGGGTGGTTTCACCCCCTTGGAACTAGAATTTCGAAAAATCCCTTCTTATCGAACCTCTGCACCCTAGAATCAACCTGTATGACAAAATTGAGCTTCTTACGTTGAGTGGTTTGAGCAGGATCGTGATTAATCAGTGAGTCAGTCACTTAAGGATTTTATTTATTAGTATAGATTAAAATTTTATGTATAAAGCGACTGTCATCGATTGTCATTTCCAAGCCAACTTGACGCCGTTTTTTCGATCGTACAATATTCATCACATAGATATATTCTAAATTTCTTTACTTATAAATTAATTGTGTGTGAATTTTTAATGTAAATATAATAACGAAAATATAGATTTTTTTCTAACTTTTGTATAATTATTATTTCAATTTTGGTGCCTGTTAACACAAAGTATGGTCGAATATAAATTAAAAAATACCATAAATTTACTTCTTTCTAGGGAAGGTAACAGTTGCTTCGACCAATGTAACAACAGGTTTTGTCCCCAGTACTTAATGTGGGGTTGCTGGAACGAAAAAACATGCACCTGAAGAAATACTTCCACAGGATAAAAAAATAAGTAATTTTACTCTTATTAGTTTTATAAATAGATAATGTACCTAAAAATAAATACATAATATAAGATCATAACTATCTAATACCTTTTTTTATTTCCTTCCCATAATAGAAAGAGTCTGAATTTTTATGGAAATGTTT